GAATTCCGAGAGAAAAATACTGAATTTCTTACTTTTGGAGTACAAAAATTGACAAACGTATCGATAATCTTTCGTTGTTTCAAAATCTCGAAATCTTAGGAGTGTATTATTATATTTTATGACTGTACAAATGCAACTCTCATGTCTCTATTGACTCAGTCACATTTCCTACGGCGACAGTACGGTCTAATCAATCATATGGCCGCCGTAGAATATCTACGGTAACATTCTTTAAACCTCAGTCACATTGCCCTTCGGCGCCCGTACGTCGACCTTAGCTCCCTGAAATAGGCAACTTCCTATGGCAGCCGAAGAAACTCTACGGTCTCCGTACGGCTTATCCAGTTCTAAACAGGCTGTAGATTCGCCGTAGAAATTATAACTCGGAATGAAAAAAGTTATAACTCCATTCTATGATTCCATGGTGATTCGTATGGCGAAAGATGCTCCTCGTATGTTCTCCGTAGAGCAAATGTGGCAAAATTAGGCATAAGTCTCTGAGGATAACATACTATACATAAAGGTAAATAGATACAGGGTGTCCAAAAAAACAGGACCGTAACCGTAAGAAAGTTGAATAACTCGGTCAATCTTGCATATTTTGCCTTGAAATTTCAGAATTATTTAGTTCATTCAATGTGAATTTTGTTGTGAAAGTTTGATAATAATCTACTAATTGAGTCAAAAACTACAGCTCCTTACAAAACATGCCCCAAATGTGCACCTCTCCTCTCTGTGCACTTCAATCTGGCGAACAAAGTTGTTGATGAGCCTCCTACACACATGTCTTTCTGAATGAACCAGTTTGTTCCAAGAACAATTGCTACTGGGGCTTACATCCTCCTGATGAAGTGTTACAGCATCCATTGCATTCTGAACAATGCACAATCCACTGGGTGGCAATGAGGAAAAATGGAATATTCAGTCCCTTTTGGTTCGAAGGTGACTGGGCACGTGCTATCACCATGAACAAGGACCAATAAGTTCTCACCAAGTTTTGGAGGTGACTAAGAACCAGAAGGGACATCTAAGGAGATAATTAAGCAGTGGTTTCAACAAGCCAATACCACTCCAACACTGCAAATGATATGCTGAAATGGTTTAGGTAATACTTTGGTGGTCAGCTCATCAGTTGCAGAATGCAAACCATATGGGCAGCTCATTCGCCAGACCTAAATCCCCCAAATATTTAACTTTGAGGATTTCTCGAAGCCAATGTGTATACTGACAGGCCCCTAACAATCTTAAGAGTGCAATAACTACCCCAATATTTACCATCCACATTAATGCGTATAGGTCAGGGTCATTAACAACTTTGTTCACAGGATTCGTGCCCACTTTGAGCATGTTTTTTAAGTACTTTAGTTTTTGACACAATAAACAGATTATCATCAAACTTTCAGAAAAAATTCACATTGAATGAACTAAATAATTCTAAAGTTTCAAGGCAAAATACGCAAAATTGACCGAGTTATTCAACTTTCTTACGGTCCTGTTTTTTTGGACACCCTGTATTACAAGTGAATGATAGCTAGAAGTATTTGGATATCAAAACATTTTCACTCCACACGTTTCCTATTCGGCTAAACCGTAAAAACAGTTCCTCAAATTGACGCATGGAACAGGCATTTATCAATAAACTAGCGTCTACATTTTTATATTTTTAATTCTTGTTATAGTTAGCCAGACAGATGTAATGTAAATGTCAAAATAAAACAGAACACCTGAGAGCATGGGCTAACAGATCAATAAGGGAGCTGTCTGAACTTAATTCCTTAGTTTATCAAATACAATCTTTTCTATCCAAGTACCAGTCTGATGATAAGTTTCTATGACATCTTACGTTAATCATTTCTCTTGAATTAGAAGTTTATCAGGCACAAAGTGCAGACTTGAAAGACAACAACACTCGCTTGAATACATTTTGCAATGAACAGGTACTCGATGCATTCAGGAGGTGAATCATTTTGTTGTTACGTCAAATCTTTTCTCCGAAAATAGGCACTTTGCAAGATAGGCAATGCTGCAATTTAATTGATAAAATTTAATTGATAAATGTGTTTATTCTGCATTAAAAATCATCTTTCAAAATATTTCATGATCAAAGCTGTTCCTCAAATTATGTCTGAAGTTCGGCACTTTTTAATGTTTTTATTCCGACCAAAAAAACTCCCCACCCAAAAATTTCGTATATAATTTGTCATAGCAACGATAGAAAATTATGTATCTGTGCAAATTATCTTACGAAAGGTATATTAGTTTATTCTTTTACTTCGACCTCCTCGGCCTAATGTTAGTGAAGAGAAAAGCATGCTAAACCACAACCACCGTCATGAGAAACATATGGAATAACAGGAGGAGTTGAAAAAATAGAAAACATAAGGTAAAAATTCGTATTATCTTAACCAATTACTACTCCGTGTAAACTACATCTTTGGGAATTCTCAAATACCTTCTTCAAGATCTATTCAAGGCTTTCGAAATCTATTTAAGGCTTTCAGGATCTATTTAAGGCCTTGGGCAGAGTTGATATTAGAAATATTACGAATAAGAAAGAGACTATTATATTTTCTCATAACCCATTCGGATGGTATTCTGCACATGGCTTTTATTTGATCATATGGTTCGCATGTAATATGGTTAACATTCAGATTATGGTTGGCATTTTGACACTATTGCCCTATTGCACAGCGTGTATCTAGACACATATTCCGTAAAGAAAATTACTGGTGAACACACTCGATTTAAAGATAAATATGATACTTTCGTATCTATGGTATTCAATATTTTTTGTATATTTGAGACATGCGATACATGGTTAACTGTCTCTATTGTGTTTGGGCATTTGAAAGATGGTAAAATATGGTACTACTAAAGGACAATTTTCGGTTTGGAAAACGAAGTTCATCAGTCTTCTACTGTTCTCCAAACCGAGACTTGTCCTTTGATGTGTATTATATTAGAGACGTACATAGATAAATATCTGTATATTATATGGCATTAGAGACATTCGATATCTGGTTAGATATGTCATTGTATTTTATATTCTGATCATATTGTACAATATATTCGATATGTGGTTAAATGTAGCACTATTATATTTTATAATCTTAATTTTTATCATACAGGGTGACACAAAAATGGCACTCACTAATTTTGGAATAACTTGATTTCTCAGTTAAGGACTCCACTAGATATTTTTGTATAGATAGAGTTATTAATGGTATAAACATTATTGTACTTGTGTAGCATCAACAACTTCCAGATTTAAAGATATCACGTTTTCCGTCCAGGCATGCTCTCGGTGAAATCATCAAAAAATGTTCAAAATTTTTCTAAAATTGGGATTAATTCTGTCTTAGCCATTATTTGAGTCATTTATGGATATTCTCCACATATATATTATCAATAATATGTCACATCTACCAATTTATAAAATAATTTTGTCAAAGATGAACTGACTCGCTTTTTAGGTTTGTTTGAGAAAGACAGATTCTCTATTTTAGTTTTGAGTGATTTTGTGTCAGAGCATGCCTCCGCGGAAAATGAAATATCTCTTAATTTCCAAGTTGTTGATGTTATGTCTGTTGTATTTTGTAAATACATTTTATACCATGGTCAGAGCAATATCAGGTATATAATATATCAGGCTTGGTATCAGGATTAGAGGGATGATATCAGGGATATGATATTGATATCATCCCGGCTAAATTCAACAATTTTTTATTTTTTTTAATTACATCTTTTCAAAAAACTTCCATATTTTCGAGATTTTCATTTTTTAAAATTTTTGTGGATACAGATGATTTTCATTTTTCAATATTTTTTAATTATTATGTTTCACAAATTCTCAATATGCACTTTAGGGCGGGAACTTACAACTTCAATGATCGTCGACCAGTGACAAAATATTTTTAAGTTTGGATATTTCATCAAGACTAAAATATATTTTTATTATCTCCAAAGAACCCCCCTGGATGAACATTATTTCAGCTGATATTCCTCTTGAAACGTGGTGAATCTTAAAAATCCATAAGTGGGACTCCCTTTATAGAACCTTTGAACTGAATTTACACATCCTAATGCTGAAATTGAGAGTTTATCCATAACACTTTAAGAAAATATGTATGTCAAAGAAGATGTTAAGCCAAATATTGACCTGATAGCTCAGAATAATAAAAAATCTCGAATTTTCTCTCTACAGTCCTCCTTGCCCCTTTAAATATTCCTGACAGTCAACAGAGGATAGATATATATTGCTCTTGACCATGGTATATGGTTGTTATTCACCTGTCGGGATGATATGAAGAATATACCTCGGATGATATCAATATTTCCACAGGGAACGCATTGATATCATCCTCGTGATATTCTCCATATCAATTCCCTTCTGGTGAATAACTTCTTTAAATGCATGTGATATACTTATAAAAAGTATCCTTATTGTGATATGACATGCATGAGTTATATTTGATATTTTGTGTCATATTGGACCTATTTGATGTAATTAAATAGTAAAATATGACACTATTGTATTTCATTTGATAGGTTTACATGTATAAGTGGTAATTTTGCCTAATCATTTAATTTGCCTATTTCCTAATTTTTGCCAGGTTCGGAAAATTAAATGTCGGAAATATTGTATTTATAATGTTATCCAATGGGAGGTTTCTTGTAATTAGGAAAATTAAAATTAGGAAAATGATGAAATTTGACCATTCGGAAAATTATCCACTCGGATTAAATACCACTTATACAGTATATGATAAAACACTACATTTTATACATAGAGAGTAATAGATTGGATACTTTTGATTTATAAGAGACAAACGCGGCACTTTTTTAAATACATTGCTTTCATATTGTAAATGTAGCATTTCTATATTTTGAATCTGTATACCACTTTCCGGAATAATGCCTTTTTAAAAATGAAATATCAAATTCGTAAATGAACAAGTACACAGAGGCGAATCAACAAATAAATAAAATATACCACTTACCATTTGTTTCTGCAGATGTAGACGCTGTTGCCATGTTGATTAAGTTAATCCCCTTTTAATGTGCAAAGTCATCATGTTTTACAATCCATCAAGTAGTAAAAGTCACATCATCTGCATTTTATTTCTTTTATTCATTGTCTTTAGTGAATTATATTTGACACACTGTTTTGAAAATAAATGCATATATCAATAATTCCATACTTTCATGTCATGTTTGATCACCTCAACGCGCAAATTAAGCAGATATTCAGAGCTGAGAAATGAAAACAAATGCTTATGAAATGTACAAGAAACCCACATTATTGTCCAATATCATCGGACAAGTTGATTGTACTCAGCTGATTCAGCTCTTTAACAACTACTGTATACTGATAGATTATACGCATCAGTCATAATGATAATATAAAGAATAAGTTATACAAAGCTCTCCACGAAATCTGTGTATTCAGATAATCCAAATCCTTTAGTTTTCCTATAATCCAACCAGGTCGATTTTTATTTTGACTGCTTCAACAGTGAGAATCTCCCAGTGTGATAAACTCCAGTAGCTTCTTAGCTGCAAATTGTATTGCTGATCACTGGTCTTGTTAATTGAGAAATAGTATATAGGTATGCTCAGCTTTATTTTCAAAATACCAAGTAGGTTGGTATGGTCTATATCTTCACTATGTGGTTTTTCTCTCAAGCAGATAAAGAACAGACAGTTAAAATATATAGGGATGGACTGCGTAATATCTGTTTAGGAAGTTATGGACCAAGAGTTATCTTAAAGCCCCTTAAATGTATCTTGTATCCAATTTTATTTGTAGCATCTTAAACCTTAAACTTTTATGCTGTTAGGTATGATTGGTCTGCCCCTACATTATTTATCATAATTTGTAAATTTTAAAAGCGACAATATGTTTTCAAAGGTGTTTTATTGTGTGGCATTTTCGTGGTCCACAGGATGCAGTTAAAGCTTCCAACAGAGGGGAGAATGACTTGTATGGGACATATTCACGGTTGTCAAACTGTAGTGTAAAACATACGTTTAGTCATACTTATAGACTCTGTCAATTATTGCTTTTGTAAATTACATGATAAGTTAGTCAATGTTTATTAATCAAGCAAAACAATATAGCTGTCACTGGCGGATCTAGAAGCTAACAAGGGAGGGGGCGGGGGTGGAACATATCAAGTCGGGAAAAAATGTTGGGCCCCTATGATCCCATAGTAGGCTCCAATTTTGAAAGTTTTGTCCCATGCTTTGATAATTTGGCCTAAAAAGACCCAAAGGGCCAAGTTACGCCCTAAAAAGGTCCATTTTTGAGGCCCTACAACTTTGTTTTCTGGGCCCACCTTAGGGGTGTGGAGGGGTGGGCCCATGCCCCCTGGATCCGCCAGTGGCTGTCAATCACAGATGTACATGAAAAATTAAATGTTTGGATTAATAGGTTAACTCAGAAAGATGTCGTTATCAAATAGACATATGCTCCTCTCTAAGTGTACAGCCGAGAACCATGAAATATAAGTTTACAGTCTAAACACAAGAATACATCTGACAGCAATAAAATAAAGGTTAGTAGTCGTGGTCAAAGAAAAAAAGCTGACAATCACAAATAAAAGTTGACATTGGAAAACGATGTCAATTATCTATCTAAGTGTCAACAACCATGAATTAAAAGTTGACAAACGTACCTAAACAAAGAAAAACACAAATAGTAGATGGCAATGTGAATCAAGAATAGCTGTCAATCACGAAACAAAGTTGACATTCATAATCATTCGAACAAAGTGAATAGCTGCCGATCACAGATGAACAAGAACAAATAAATGTTTGAACAAAAAAGGTTATCGCAGAAAAAAGATGTCGTTGCTAAATTAACGTTGAGTGTGGAACGGATATGTGCCCCTTTGAATGGCATGTTTGAAATCGTTGCCCTCCTCAAATTTTACGGTGACCTCTAATTACAACAATAAAATATTTGTTCAGAAATATGTCACCAAACTCAACACACTCATTTTTAAACTTGAATCTTCTCAGTTTTTAATAGAAAATAGATAGAGTTAATGGACAAGGTTCAATTAGATGGCACTAGTAGTTCTCTATCTCTTATACTTGTTAAAGGCTTAGAAATCCTTTCTGGGCTTTGCTAAAAAATATAGGTCTTTAATTATATACAAAGTTTCAAGTTTTACCACTGGGGATGCTGAATGATGTTGGAATTGAAGTCACATGCAATATTTTCACTTGGCACCTTTTAAGGTTTATCAACCATAGTTATCTCCTGGATATGACCATTGTGAATTATTTGTTTTATAGATTATAACAACGGCTTTGCGATTGTGATGTTGACTATTTCTGATTTTATGAGAATTGGCTATAATCTTTTTCATTTTTTCTTCAACATGTATTGTAATGACAACAGTATGATACCATTTGCATTCGTTCGACTTCATTTTTTGAAAGAGAGCTTCGTCTTCAGTTAGTTTATAGTTCAGGTAGTTTATAACCAGAGTCTGCCCGAAGGGTAACAGTATGAATGAAATGTCCCTTGGTGCTCTGGTCCTGGATTGTGATATTGGGTCTCGATTGTTCACATTCTCTACACGCCCGACGCCACGAATGTCATCTTTGAACTTGGCCCTCTGTGGCCTATTAGGTAGGCATTACTGACTGTTAGGAACGGCATATTGGGAATTTCAATGATATTGATAAATGAAGGGCACCCACGACGATTAATCTTTGTATTTGAGCTGAACCATTAATCAAGTATGAATGTCATAAAAGACCAACTTATCGTGCATCTTCTTTATTCCCATTTAGGCAATGTGAATGATTTCATGGATGAGACATTTTGTCGTATTGCATCAAAATAATATACCGCGTACTCTTCAAGACTATCTCAAACATTGCTTAAAATTAAGCATCCCGATATGAAAAAAGAATTAAAACAACGAAAATCATTTATTGAAAAACGGCCCACTATACTTAATTTAGAAAAAAGAAAATAATCATTGAAACATGTTACATACTCGCAGAGTGATACAAAGTTTGATTTGCTTTAATATTGAACCAAGAAAAAATACCTCAGACAGAAAAAAGCATTTGAAGTCCAGAGATCATTAGTAGTGCACGCCCATGTTAAACAAATTGCATGTTTTAAACTACTCTCGATTTAAAAGATGGCGACACTTCTATAAAAGTCATCAACTTCACCATCTTTCAATGACATTGATAAAAACTTGATATATAACGCTTGACTGATCGAAACTATTTTTGATAATATATTGTAAGCTTTGATGTGGTCCGTTTGAGCTGTTGTTGGTTTCAAATAAAAGATAAGGTTCTTATCAATACATTGGACATACTTTGAAATTCAAATGTAAGTCTTTATTTTGCCCCAAAACGTTGAAAATACGCAGAGTGGGTCTTTAATATATAATTAGTTGACCTAAAATGATTGCAGCCCATGAAATGTCTGTCGTTTCTACAACAAGGGCGAACCGGGTTTTCTTTTTCAATAATAAGTCGATCCTGATGGTCAAGATTATTTTGCTTTTCGAAAATGGAATCCGAATGGCTCCCCTAACGCCGGAAAGACTCCCAAACTCCTGATGTCGAAGTGAAATTATACAGTCAATGGGCTATCCATGCATTACTAAAAGAGGAAATTTTAAGGTTACTAATCTTTTTAAGAGCATGTGATAGTGTCAAACGTAATTCATATTGATTTAATCAAGAAATAGGACAACAAATGGCGAGAGAAAATATCATTTTTCGCAAACCTGCAAGTAATATTCTAATGGAATGAATATATTCTTTATTCTGTATCAAAGGAATTGAGATAGATATGATGTTTTCTCCAGACTAAGAGTCCATTGGCCACAGATGCTAAAGACATTACATCTTAAAGTATTGGCCCATATCTGCTAAATCTGACAGCTGTCAAGCACCTTAGTATCTTCCTAACAATGTAGGACGGTAATAAGTCGGTGGACTGAACTTTCGACCATATTCTTGATAAGAGGGAGGGGAATCGCATTTACTATTTGTACGATTCACTGACGGATCCAGAAGCTAACAATTTGGGCCCCTAAAAGGCCAAGTTATGCCCAAAAGGGCCCATTTTTGAGACCCTACATTTCTGCGTCCAAAAAATGTTGGGACCCTTAAACTTTTTTCTTTGCCAATCCACCCACTCTAAAATTATGGCCCCGCGGAGGATTAGCCATCTTCATAAAATCTACCTGCCCAATTGAGGATGAAGGTACAAGACATGTAATTATATTACACTATACACGTTCATTTAAACACGTTTTCTCAGAAGCGTTTAGCTTAACCTCGCTAATGCATACGATTGAGGAAGAATACAAAAGGATAATTATCTAACCACACTTTTGTAAACTTATCAATCATTCCAATTTCACCCGTAGCCCTTTTACATATTCATTTGGATATGTTTTGAATCCCGGATGATCAATCACTAGTTTCTATAACAGTAGGCCTACAGTGAACAGTATCACGAGATCGCGGAAATTCGTTCAGCCGCTAAGTGATCCAAGAACTCCATGATTCTTCACTATGTTTGATCAAAGGAGCAGAATGACCCTGTCAAGAATGATGTCGATGTCTCTAATATTCTTGCTTTGAATTAAGTGCGAACTACTGTATTATTAATTTAATAAAAGGATTTGATACCATTCGATGAGTTTGAATAAGCATAACATGTATTTGCATAAAATGGACTGGATGACAGCAGATATTGCAGTTGTCTGGTTGTGTCCGATCCTTTTCTGCCTCAATCATTCAATACTCCGGCCATAGAAATGGTGTCCATGGGTATAATCGATTTTCGTACATCACACGAAATGTCTTATTTTTATTTGTAATCCAGCAGCTGTTTTCAAGAAATATAATTGTCTGAAATCTTTAATACGTATTCAAAATTAAGCCATGATAAATATATCTCATTTTCTAATCAAATATTATTTCCAAATAACGAAAGATGTCTTTTTATTTCTTTTTATTACACCTGATGCGCGTAATTATCA